ATCCAAATGTGACTTACTTAACTAATATGACTTTCTTAACTTACTCAATGTGACTTAATTAACTAACTTGACTTACTAATTGACTTACTTAATCCTAATGTGCTTACTAATCCAAATGTGACTTACTTAACTAATATGACTTTCTTAACTTACTCAATGTGACTTAATTAACTAACTTGACTTACTTTAATCCTTGACTTACTAATTGACTTACTTAATCCTAATGTGCTTACTAATCCAAATGTGACTTACTTAACTAATATGACTTTCTTAACTTACTCAATGTGACTTAATTAACTAACTTGACTTACTTTAATCCTTGACTTACTAATTGACTTACTTAATCCTAATGTGCTTACTAATCCAAATGTGACTTACTTAACTAATATGACTTTCTTTCTTAACTCCATGTGACTTAATTAACTAACTTACCTACTTTAATCCTAATTAACTAACTTACCTACTTTAATCCTAATGTGACTTACTTAACTTACTTATTTATGCTTACTAATTGATTTTCTTAACTCAATGTGACTTAATTAAGTAACTTACCAACTTTAATCCTAATGTGACTAACTTACTTTAATCCTAATGTGACTTACTTAACTTACTTATTTATGCTTACTAATTGATTTTCTTAACTCAATGTGACTTAATTAAGTAACTTACCAACTTTAATCCTAATGTGACTAACTTACTTTAATCCTAATGTGACTTACTTAACTTACTTATTTATGCTTACTAATTGATTTTCTTAACTCAATGTGACTTAATTAAGTAACTTACCAACTTTAATCCTAATGTGACTAACTTACTTTAATCCTAATGTGACTTACTTAACTTACTTATTTATGCTTACTAATTGATTTTCTTAACTCAATGTGACTTAATTAAGTAACTTACCAACTTTAATCCTAATGTGACTAACTTACTTTAATCCTAATGTGACTTACTTAACTTACTTATTTATGCTTACTAATTGATTTTCTTAACTCAATGTGACTTAATTAAGTAACTTACCAACTTTAATCCTAATGTGACTAACTTACTTTAATCCTAATGTGACTTACTTAACTTACTTATTTATGCTTACTAATTGATTTTCTTAACTCAATGTGACTTAATTAAGTAACTTACCAACTTTAATCCTAATGTGACTAACTTACTTTAATCCTAATGTGACTTACTTAGCTTACTTATTTATGCTCTGTGACTTACTTAACTTACTTGTTTATGCTTACTAATTGACTTTCTTAACTCAATGTTACTTATGTGACTAACTTACTTTAATCCTAATGTGACTTACTGAACTTACTTATTTATGCTCACTAATTGACTTTCTTAACTCAATGCGACTTAATTAACTAACTTACTTACTTTAATCCTAATGTGACTAACTTACTTTAATCCTAACGTGACTTCCTTAACTTACTTATTTATGCTTACTAATTGACTCTCTTAACTCAATGTGACTTAATTAACTAACTTGACTTACTTTAATCCTTGACTTACTAATTGACTTACTTAATCCTAATGTGACTTATACTCACTGTTACTTATTTACTAATTAACTTACTTATTTATGCTTACTAGTTGACTTTCTTAACTCAATGTGACTCAATGTGATTTATATTCACTGTTACTTATTTACTAATTAACTTACTTATTTATGCTTACTAATTGACTTTCTTAACTCAATGTGAGTCAATGTGACTTATACTCACTGTTTTATACTCTACTGTTACTTATTTCATAACTCTTTGTAGGTCATTAACATGGTTGAAGTTACCATATACTTTCATCATGGTGGTGAATGGCTAACCAGTCCAGAACCACATTATGATAGAGGATGTGTGACTTATTGGAAAAGGTATGATCCTGACCTAATATCTTTTATTGACTTAGTGAATGAGTACATTAATAAGTTAGGTTTTGTTGGTGTGCAAGAACTTATTGTACTTGCTCCAATTGGAAAATATTTTGAAATAATAGGTGATGAGGGAGTTAGGACCTTAACATCTTTTATCTCTACTGAGTATAAATCTATTCACTTGTTTGCTACTGAAGATTGTGAATTGTCTGTTGATGTAACTGATATTATCATGCATGATGGGTCATTTCTACTTTCACCAATTGTTAATGAGGGCACAGACTGTAGTGAAAGTGAAGATGACAGTACTAATGGAATGGTGTTTAGTTGTTCAGATTATGATACAGATGAATTAGAAAATTTTGTTACTAAAAAAAGAGGAATATAACTGATAGTTTGCAAGATTATAAGGAGATTGTTAAGGGTATGGCCTTCAAGGACATAGCTGAAGCAAAACAGTTTTGTAAACTTTATGCTCTAGCTAAGAAGGTAGAACTAGTTGTGTGAAAAGTGATAAAAAAAAGATTGAGGTATACATGTGCTGCTGATGGCTGTCAATTTTTACTTCTTATTTCTGGGGATTTGACCACTCTTGGAGTTAGTGTCAAAACACTTGTAGATCATATAGAGTGTGGAACAACATATGATAACTCTTTAGTAGATTACTCAACAATAGCCTTGTATTTTAATGACAAATTGCAAAGTGACCCCAAGTACAAGGTCAAAGAAATGAATGCTGATTTACATAGAGTTTTTGAGCTAAATGTAAGTGAAGCAAAGAGCAAGAGAGCCAAAAAGGAGGTATTGGAGAGTTTAGAAGGTAGCTTTGTAGACTCTTACAATAAGTTAGAGGGTTATGCTACTGAATTGAGAAGTTGTAATACAGGGTCTGACATTGTGATAGATTTGTCTAAAGAGGCACTATCTAATGGTAAGAGAAAATTTCTTAAGATGTATATCTGCTTCAAGGCAATAAAGTTGGGTTTTAAGTCTGGGTTAAGACCACTTATTGGATTAGATGGTGCATTCCTTAAAGGGAAAACTAAGGGACAGGTATTGTGTGCTGTTGGTCAAGACAGTAATAACTCTTTCTACCCTCTAGCTTGGGCTGTGGTAGATAAAGAGACTAAGAGAACTTGGACATGGTTTATGCAACATTTGCAACATTCACTTGAACTTCAAAATGGTGAAGGACTGACATTCATATCAGATATGCAGAAGGTAATATTATACAACTAATTTGCAATTTATTTTCCTTTGCTTGATACTGTTTCTTTTATTAATTTTAGTTGTTTTAATTTGATACTTAGGGGCTGCTTGAAGCAGTAAGGACAGTCTTACCTGAAGCACATCAGAGATATTGTGTAAGGCATATTGAGGCAAATTGGTTTAAAAGATGGGGTAAAGGTGAGCTGAAAAAGTTGCTATGGTGGGCTGCATGGTCATCATTTACAGAGGAGTTTGAGGACCAACTTCAAGAGATGAAGGAAGTTAATGGAGAGGCTGGACAGGATTTAATAGACAAGTATCCTCCCAAAGCATTGTGCAGAGCCTATTTAGATACAGTGTGCAAAAATCAGGCCGTGGACAATAACTTTACTGAATCATTCAATGCCTGGATACTTGAAGCAAGGTACAAGCCAATTATTGGAATGTTGGAAGACATCAGGGTCAAAACAATGGAGAGGCTGGCAGCAAAAGAGGTTGCTGTGAGGAAGTGGAAAGATGATGGATTTAGTCCCAAAAGTGAGTTGTTGTTTATTCAGTATTTGAAGATTTCCAAGGTTTGTAAGGTGAGTGGCAATGGGGATAATGGCTATGAGGTTACTGAAGGTGCAGATAGACACATTGTCAACTTAAGAGAGAAAAAATGCACATGCAAAACATGGAATCTGACTGGAATTCCATGTCCACATGCAATTAAGGCCATGGAGCACAAGAAAATGATACCAAAGAAAGAAATTCATTGGTATTATAGTAAAGAGGCAGCATTGGCAGTTTACAAACACAAGTTACAACCTGTTAGGGGAGAACCATTCTGGAAATGTGATCCTTTGCATGCCATTGAACCACCAGAATTGGTCAAGCTTGTTGGTAGACCTAAGCTTATGAGGGAAAGAGAAAAGGATGAAGCTGTTAAGAGGCAAGGAGTATGGAAGCAAACAAGAAAAGGAAAAATGATGACATGTAGTAATTGTGGAGAACAAAATCATAATGCAAGAGGATGTGAAAAGGTAATTTTCATTTAATCTTTAATTTCATCAAATAATTATTCTATTTTACTATTTAATTCTATATCTTCTATTATGATTAATAAGGCAAAGCAGGGGAAACAACATACTAAGAAGCAAGGGAAGCAACCTGCTAAGCAAGGAAAATAATCTAGCAAGGGAAAAAAGAGGCAACTTAGGAGAGGTTTAGTTGATGAAGATGAAGCTTCTGAGGAAGACATCAACTGCACAGCCCCACAACCAACACAAGAAAGTCAATTTTGAATATGCTTCTTCTAGCAGCTATTTTCCAGTAGCTGAGGATGATGATGAAGACCCTAGGCTAAGGCCAAGAACAATATCAGAAGAAGCTTTTCTAACAAGATTGAAGAAAGAAACAGAACTCACAAGAACCAATTGGAAGTAGAGTAATAGGCTTCAGAGGTGACAAATTTGGTGTTTAGTGAACCTACAAATCTTCCCATAGGGACCAACTGGCTTAACTTGGAATGGACAGGGTGCAGTTACTACAAACCAGCTACAAAAGTTGAGGCCAAGAAGGGGATGATGCTATTGTGTTGGTATTGTTTTGTATATGTTGGTGCCTTTTATTGATGTTAAGGCTAAACTTGTCTTTTTGCTATGTTTTGTATAGGCTGGTGCCTTAAATAATGTTAAGTCTAAACTTATTTTTTTGGTATATTTTGTGTAGGCTGGTGCCTTAAATGATGTTTTTGTGATGTTTTGGTAGTACTATAGGCTGATGCCTTTAAGGTTAAAGTTGTAGTTTGGTACTCTGTTTTACTTCTACTGTTTGTATAGGCTAAGTGTATCAGCTAAAACTAACTGTTGTTTTGCTTATATATGACCAAGTGAATGTTATTTATAGTGTCTTGTATCTGTTGGGTTCTGTTGATGTACAATAGTATTTTGCTGTGGTATACATTTTTTGAGACCATTTTCTCTGTCAATGGTCGACTGTTGTGGTAAATTTCTTTTCTTTTTGGTTCTATATTGAACTGATAAGTAGATGATGATTTACTCAGAGGTAAATTTATTGACTGCTGTGATAAGATGATGATGATTTAAGAGGGGTATTTAGTCGAATTCAAAAGGCATTCCAGAAATTAATGTGTGTGTTGTTCGCAGGTTTTCAAAGAAGTCCAATTTGGCTATATTGCCATCCATGTTGAATGGCTTTCCAAGTCCTAGATTTATTAGAGCTAATGGTAGTCATCAACGACTCTCTCAAATTCTCCATTTTCAACGTAGCAAGTTTGACTTTCATGTTGATAGTTTAATAGTGTCTTTGTGCAAGTTTAATAACTCTTGAAAACACGTTTCATAAACATTGGTAAGACAAGCTTTCATTTCATTTTCAGATTCTCTAAATTCAAGGAAAACATAATGGCAATACCAGAAAGTTTATCCATCTTCAACATAATGACTAATATAACACAAATAAATACTACAAATTTTTAAGGCAAAAGACACAAAATAATGTTCAAAGCCAACACTTGAAATTCACAATACGTTTGAAGCAATAGCTACACTAAATAATGACCAACATTCAAACATAAGATTCACTAATACATAGGAACACTTGAAATAACTAACACTTGAAACTACAAATACTTGAAATAACTAACACTTGAAACTACAAATACTTGAAATAACTAACACTTGAAACTACAAATACTTGAAATAACTAACACTTGAAACTACAAATACTTGAAATAACTAACACTTGAAACTACAAATACTTGAAATAACTAACACTTGAAACTACAAATACTTGAAATAACTAACACTTGAAACTACAAATACTTGAAATAACTAACACTTGAAACTACAAATACTTGAAATAACTAACACTTGAAACTACAAATACTTGAAATAACTAACACTTGAAACTACAAATACTTGAAATAACTAACACTTGAAACTACAAATACTTGAAATAACTAACACTTGAAACTACAAATACTTGAAATAACTAACCCTTGAAACTACAATTCAACAACATATATTCCTCATGCTACCAGTTAATCACTTGAAAATTGCAACAACAAATACCACAAACACAGTAAATGACAATATACACAACATCTTCAACTTCGACACTTTAGCTTCCAAATTTCTTGATTTATTCACCTCGAAGTAGTTTAAACTCTCTAAATTCTCCAATTTTTTCTTCAAATTGTCTCTTTCAATCTTCACCGCATTCAACGACTCTCTCAAATTCTCCATTTTCAACGTAGCAACTTCCAATTTAGACTTCAATAAATTAACTTCAATAGAAGAGTTTTCTGAAGAACTGTCTTTCCACCTCTAAAATTCACAATTTTCAATCTAATAAAAATAACAGAGGAAGAACTCATAATCACCAAAATACAAGCACAAATCATATTAATTTACATTTAGCGAAAAATGTACCTTAGGTTTAGAACATCTATAAAATCTTCTTCCGGGGTTCAATGGAGTCCTTGAAGTGAAACAACGAGCCAATTCACCACAAAAACAAGTCATTATCATGGAGTTACTAATTGAATCACAAGAACTTTCAGACATGGTTTTAGGTCTGATTTGAGGGGAGACGACAGATAGATGAAAAATTGACTACAAAATTATGACCAACACACGATAGATTCGACGAAGACAAGGTGAAATCGACAAAGACAAGGTGGAATCGACAAAGACACACTGTAATTGCGGCGACAACTAGGGTTTTGGTGTGTGAGATACGCGGGGACCTCCGACTAGGGAAAAGGGACGGATTTTGGTGTGTCAATTTGGATGTTTTAATTAGGATTCTTTTTAGAGGAAATTGGGTGGGTATTGGGTTATGGGGCGGATAGTTGGGTTATGGGTTAAAAAAAAGTATCAAACGGGTAGTTCAATAGGGTTAAGACACGTGTAAGAAATTTAGGGGTCCCTTAGTGAGAGGGGTATATGTGTACCTATAATTGGACGGCAGAGGCATATGTGGATGCAAAGTATAACGGAGGGCATATATGTACCATTTATTAAAGTTCGGGGGTAAATCCGTCCCTTTTCCCTTTAATCTATGTACTCCTATGAAGCTAACTTCCAAGTAATAACTCAACAATAAGTTGTGTAATGAATCAAAACTAGAAAGCAAGAGAAGTGCACAACACAAGTTTTAACATTTTTATGTAAATTAAACCACTCTTCACATCTCTCACATAGCAAAATTATAAGCAACAAATACAAAAAAGATGTACAAAAAGTGAAACCACATTATTTGGAGTTGTGTATTTTGAAGGAGCACAGTTTAATTAAATATACAATTAAACAATTTGTATACTAATATTATTATAACTAGAATTAGAACCTGATCAGATAGGGTAATTATCTTTTCAGTTTTATTGAGGTTAGTAAAAGACCACTTGAGCTCCAATGATAATAATGTTTGATCTATGTGAAGATTTGGCTTCAACGCTACTTCTCCATCTGCAGACCTGAATTTTCCATCACTCCATTCCTATTAACAAGGGACAATTTTAGTTTAATCACATCAGCACATTGAATTTCAGATGAGTAACATTCTTCCTTTAGAAGTTGAGAGAAGTATTGAAAACATTCTAAACTTGACGCGAATTATTAATTTCATTCCTGAATTATCCATCTACTTGACTAACTGAACTTAAATACATCATGATCTTGTAACTTGAGTGAAATACACCCCTAAATTCTTATCAAGGTAAGTGGTATTTTCAACACTTCTTTCGGTGTTTTATTAAGAGTCTCATGCTCCTACAAAGAGTTTGAGACCACTTGCTATGTCATGTGACAGATCGAGGGTGTATTTAAGTTCAGTTAGTCAAGTAGAGGGGTGTTTTTAAGACTGTCGATAATTTAGAGAGAAAACTAATAAAACTAGTATTTGTCTAGCTAAGAAAGAGGACTAACGTTAACATTTATTTGTAGAAAAAGAATACCTCAAGTTGATCTCCAATAGTGACAATGATTGTGTCTGGGGTGGTCTTAAAGGGCAAACGACCACGTTTTGAATGCATAGAGAATTCAATTGGTTCCAATGGGAGAAATAGATGCAATGCATATTTAAGTGAATCTTCAAGTGTTGCATTGTGGGGTGGAAGCCATGTTTGGTCCACATTGCTTGATTGATTTTTAGTGCATCTGTATATGTACATTTTCACTTCTTCTGATTCTATTTTTTTCCGGCATTCCTCATTGTCACTCAATCTTATTATTTCATCCACTTCTTTTGCTATTCCTTTTAGTTTCTTCAATACCTCTTCCAACTTTTCCCTGCACCAAAAGTTAAATTATCATCAACAGGAACCAAAAATGTCTTCAACTCTATTTCATTGCTTGGTACGACTTACGAGAGATTAGGAATAATGATCCAAGATAAACTGTAGGATTATTTTATTCTATTTTTGGTTAAAGGTATTAGTTAACCACAAGATTATTTATATCACCATTTATCAATAGTGATGAGATAAGTTATGTCATATATATATATATATGGTGAGATAACTGTTAGGGTTTTGCCCTGATTTTCTTACCATAATTTAAGATATATTTTTCCTTAAAGAAAAAACAAAACATTACCATAAATGTTTTTACTTTTCTTGAAAGGAAAATATAATATTATTTTATATTTGATTTATTCTCTCCTTTTAGGACTCCTTTTCTAGTAGGAAAGGTTTTAGGACTATAAATATATGTTTGTTTCTTCTAACACAAGAACAATAACATCCACAATGTAGTCGTTTAAGAGTCTTGTTTATGGGGAGATTTATTCTCTCTAAAGTTTCAATATTTTTTCTTTATATTAATTTTGATATAATAATATTTTGATTTTTA